GCTCCATCTCCTCGAGCAGTCCTCCGGACTGACTCACCGTTTCACTCAGCTGTGTGGAGAAATCCTGCTAACTTTTTAACAGTAAATGTTTAAATGGAGCTCTGTATTCCTATATTGCACAAAATGCCAGGTGTTTTCACATTAAAGGCATAAAGTGCCTTATCAGGACTCTTGGAGGGCTTTGAGTTGGGTGTTTTTAATCTTTTTTGAAATTATTTTTTGTACATTGCAACTGAAAAAAAAAAAGTACTGAATAGTGAAACAAAACCAAACAAAACCCCAGAAATATACCAATAAGCTCTCACTTGTTTCAGTTGTGTCCTAGCTAGTTCTCATTTTCTGATATGATCGGTTCTATTACTCATACAATGGTAACATTCTCACCTATACAATCACACGAAACCAAAATGCCAACCCAGAGAAGGAAGAACTTGCAAGGAACTCTGTGGGTCCCAGGGCAGTGGGTTTAGAGATAAAATACACTATGTTAGCCCACCCATTCTACAGAGACATGCTTCTTTCTCTCTACCCTGAAGGTCCCTCTTTCTTTAGGATATTTTCTTCTTCTTTCCTGTTTCTATCCCCTGACCCCCACCCCAAGGATTTCACAAGTAGCAGGGGATCTTTTTCTACCGCAATGGCTTTCACACAAAAAAGAACAAAAGTATTCATTTTTTGAAAGGGCAGAGCAAAGGATACTTTCTACTGCTGATAATCTCACTACCTCCCTATGTGCTTCACTGGACACCAGGTATTAATTTCGTAGCTCAATTAATCTCATTAACCTCAAGAATTTTAATTAACTTTACTAAAGTCAGTGCAGGCTCCTCATATTCAGCAGGATTGTTTAGAGGCATACAGTAAGAATTAAAACTAGGTTGTTAAGTCTCCAATCTCATTAACAGTGTAAGAAGTAATGAGCAATGTCTTTATACATGTGTGTGTGTTAGGGAAAACATCTGTGCAATTCATTTTTCTGTGGTGGCAAACTGAGCAAAACTGGAGGTTATTCATTGTAATAGTAATCTTTTAGTCTCATGTAAATTTTCAAACAAATGCATATTCATTTGTGAATAATGCTATAAACTACAAACTTTTGGTCTTATGATTTTTCTGGTCACAAAATATCATTAAGTTAACATTTGAGTAAGCAGATGTGCTCAGACTTTTATAAAAAACTGTCATTCAAAGTAATTATGGGGGTAGAAGAGGAAATAGAGGGTTATCTGAACATATAATCCAACTTTTCATGTCCAAATAGCCCTTTAAAATGTGATGATAATTTATTCGGTAGGTATCAGTCTCAATTCTAATGCCCCTTTGCTAAGAAATAAACAAACTGCATTCATATCAAGTGGATTTTTCCTGTCGTGGATTGGAGGTGAAAAGTTTTGTGGATGGGAGAAGATCACACTTCAGCCATGCTAAATTTTCTCATCACTATAATGAATAATGGTTTGCTGCATTTTATATAGGGTTTACTACTATACATAAGCCATATTTACTTTTATTTGTATATTCAAGCTAATATTTCATGCATCTTTGTCTAAGCAGTTGAAAATGTACATCATAAAAATGAACATTATCAAGGCTGCAATCCTTCTGAAGATAAAAGGAGTTTCATGTCTGCATAATACCTTTATTACCTTTTTAGGATTTTACTATAACCTGATGAATTGGATTATCACCTGACCCAGATGATACGCAAGCATTATCGTCCTTGTTTGGCTATAACTCCCATTGATTCAATCAGTCTACGTGGTGCTACGGATACCAGGCAAGTTGAAAAACACAACTGACATAAGTTGATATTCCAAAAAACATCACAAGCAAAGTAGAATTGGAAGCTAAACCAGAAATAACATTTATGAGTTAGTAAGAGCAGAAGGTCATATGTACGATCTGTTCATTACCCTTCATGGCCATCACCTTTGCCAAAATTTATCAGGGTAGATAAAATTCGTTTTCTTGAACAAAAGATAGACATCAGGTTCTCTCAATCTTCTGCAATTCATATCCAATCCTTGTCAAACCCTGTCACTTTCCTACACACAGGTCTAGTTCATCCATGAATTCTAATAATGTTTGTGAAACACTAACTATATGCCAGACACTGTGCTAAAGTCTGGGGTTGCATCAATGTAGAACATCCAACCCCAGCCCTTTGGAAGCCACATTTAGGAGGAGAGAAAGATGAAGTCTCCCTAACCGTGCTTCATTTCACGTCAAAGTTATCTTCGCTTGCATTTGCAGAACCATCTGCACATCAGATGCTCCAACACCAGCAGCATCTGGCCGGTCTGCACTATTTCTGCCATCAGCAGTTCATTTCCCTTAACTGAGCTTCTGTGACGTTCCGTGTACATAGCTAAAGTGGTTTCTACGGCAGTGTGGATAAGGCCCAGAGACTGTCATCATGGTGCCCCAAGATGAAATTAATCAGACGTTTGAGTTGCCCATGCCAGCAACACAAATATGACTGAATTATGCAGAAGAGCAAATGTATTCGCCTATATTTCCAGGAAGGGCAAGGGTGTACTTAAGGGGGATGGGACCAGGGCTTGATGCTGCCAGGATTTGTTCTACTTAAGTTTATACTTCTTTCTGAGCATCAGTTTTACTCTCTTTTCCTGTTTTTTTCACCAGGCCTGACCATGGTGGTGGCAACTCTCAATTCATATACTTAGAGCATCACGGACAGAAAAAAGAGAGCATTTCATTTTCCCAACTTGAAATTCTTGGGGAAGAGCTCTAAGTTTCCTAGTTTGTGACACTAGACAAAAGCTTACACCAGCCCATCCAAGGGACCCACCACCTCTCTGACTGCGGTGGGGTCTTTTACCACAAGAAGGAGACTAGTTTAAACATGGCCACTGAGAAATCTCTATGGATGAGACAGTTACTCAGTCTCCATACACTGCATAGGTCCCTTACATTTTCTTCTCCACAAGCTTTCCCACATAGACTTGAGGAAGAGTCACATCTAGAGATGTGGTCTAGAGATTAAATTCCCACAGCTGAGTTCTCTGGTCAATTACTTTTTTTCCTCCATTATTTGCAATTGTTTCTGACTCTTTTGTATATCTACACCCTAGTCCCCATGTCCAAATTCTCCTACTGTTTTTTGTTTGTTTGTTTTTTTAATTTACATCTCCATGTGCAGAGTATAACATGCACGAGATTGTAACCTACTTGAAGGCATGAAATAGTCTATTCAAAATGGCTGTATAGATTTATTGCTCACTGCAGAAAAGATCAAGGGGAACTAAAGAAGAGTGTAACATAACCCTATCCTTTCAAAGTGCAGAACTTAACCTTCATGTTGACCTAGTCTGTATGTGATTGAAAAAGAGCCCAAAATACTGAGATCAGCTCTAGAAAATTTGTTTGATTATTCAAACTGATTCAACATTTGTGGGCACTATATACTTTTATCCATTAACTAAGGCACATATTATAACTTTACTAACCATCCATATTGGAACTGTGTTTACCTTTGTTTGAGGCACATTTTTTAGTCTTTAAGAGTCAAACAAAACAAAACAAAAAAACTTTTACTCTAGCACAGACTGAGGCATATTCATTGCTTGATAAATGCTTTTGACTAAACATGCTCAACTATGCAGTAATCACATGCACTTGCAACAGATTATTGATAATACCTTTTGGTCATCACTTGTCCCACATGAGTCTTGACACAGAAGACCCTCCGTGTCTGAATGCCCACACCACAAGTAGCTTCTCCATTCCAGCCAATGGTTTCATTAAGGGCAGTTAACAATGTGTCTTCAGAACAGGGGCCCCAAGGCGATGTCTCCCAGTAAAGCTGCATACAAGAATGGTCATTGCATGAACGATATTCTTGGAGGGCCTGACTAGGCGGGCATGGCTTTCCACCTGCAAAAATCAAAATCAAGAAGAATACATGGTTGGGGCTGGCCTGGTGGCATAGTGGTTAAGTTTGCACACTCCGCTTCTACAGCCTGGGGTTCACGGTTTCGGATCCTGAGCGAGGACCTACGAACTGCTCATCAAGCCATGCTGTGGCGGCGTCCTATATACAAAGTGGAGGAAGATGGGCACGGATGTTAGCCCAGGGCCAACCTTCCTCAGCAAAAAGAGGAAGACTGGCAACAGACGTTAGCTCATGGCCAATCTCCCTCACAAAAAAAAAAAAAAAAATGGTTGCTGCTGCTGTTATTATTATGTTGTTGCTATCATCATTCTTATTTTTGTTGTTTTTGCTGTTTTAATGGTGTAGAAAGATGGTCTTTTTGACAGAGAATTCCAAAGCCTGAGCCACACACCCTTTTTCCCACTCTAAGGACATAATTCTTTTGTTCTAAGTAACAACCTGAGGACAATATAGTGTACTCTTCTCTCCTAAGTAACAGGCAGTGGTATACATAAATTAGATTAAAAAATTGATTGATTCTACTGCCCACCTCTGGTGCGTGTATCTCTGAGCTAAAGTCCAAAGGAATCTGCTTTTATTTTAATATTACTATGTTTATATAAATTAGCCAGACATAATAGCCCAGGACCTTGAAGTGATATTAGGTCGAACACACATACAAACATATTACCTATACTTGGTCTCTCTTTCCTAAGAAAGCATTATTTTTTTCAGAGAACCATTTTAAGACAACCATCCTCCATCAAACAGTGCATTTTACTGCAATCTGAGAAATCCAAAGGTATCTCTTACAGTTTGACAGGAGAGAGCCCATCCTTAAACTCTGAAATAATATCTGACAAGGTGTTATCCACTAGCAGGGAGACCAGACAGATGTGTATCCTTACACTCTTGGGTGAGTCAGACAATCAAATTTCATTACTGTCTTTTCTTTCACATTTTTATACCCATGTAAAAATAGGTATTTATCTAAAGTATTGATTTTTTTTCCTATTCTTCCACACTATAATGTTTTATTCAGTGGGCCAAATGCTCAAGGAGATTTGTGACCTTGGTTTTGTTATTCTTGCTATTTTTCCCCCCATTAAATACCACTGACTTTTTTCTCCTTCCAGAAATCTAAAAGACAAGAGGGGGAAGCAACGGCACTTTAAGAATATGAAAATCTTTGTTCATCTTGACCCTGACCCCATTTCTCAGGATCACAGAACAGAAGCTTGTTTAAGAGGAGTTCCTCACAGCCAGTGGCCACACTACCCCGCTGTTCTGACTGAGCCATAGGCAGATGAAGCCAAGAGAAAGCCTGAAAGAAATGCCGCGTGTGTCTGGGGACAGAGACCGTTACTATAAATGATAGGAACAGCTGCTCCTCTAATTTGTTCTGATGTCACCCATTTACATAGCACATTTTAGCTTCTTCAAAGCCATTTGCACAGGCTTCGTCTTTTTCCCTCTCACATGTGCCAGCATGACAGAACAGGAAATCAGGGTACATGGATCAGGTAGCTTGCCGATGTTAGTGGCAGTTCCCAGTCAAGAAGCCATATCTCTTGATTCCTCATCTGGAGCTCTTTTTACCAGACATATTCCAATTATGTTCCTACCTGGATGAGCTATCTGAAGCTGGATATGTGTCAACCAAACTTCGTTTTCTTCCCTAAAAAAGTATAATCAAAAATGACATCCATCTGATTGCCATGGCCTGTATATAGGTATGAGCTAAAACAACTCCTGTAAATATGGGGACCCAGCATAGATACACTAGAGGATTAAGGAGAAAAGGTATGCATGGAAATGAAACTATTAATTTGGACTCAGGGAATAGAAATATCACCTATGTGTGGCTACTTCCGCAATATGACCATCTCAATATCCTACTGGAAAAAAAATAATAATTGGGCAATTGACTCCATTGTTGAAACCTTTACTATTACTCACCATCTCCAGCCAATGCTAGGATAGTCCTCGACCTGGTCTGTTTTCCATCTGAGTTTTTATTTGAACAAGACTGGGAGCAGGATGACCACTGTGTCCACTCGCTCAGCACACAATCCATTCGGCAGGGAATTTCACAAGCCATCCATTCAGGAGGAGGAGATGCTGGGCAGAGACTTCCTGATACATCTTCTCCTGTAACCAACCAGATCAAGACAGATGCTGATTAATGCACAATCAAGGCCAATCCAAGGAACATTTAGGTTTACTGTTTCCTCTATTACTTCAGTTTATCTTAGAAGACTTCACCTGGTATCTAAACCAATAACATCAAAAAATGATGGTTTCCTCAGCCATTCATAATATTTATGTCCAGACAAACTGCCAGGAGATCATTTGGCATTTAGAAAGATAGATACCACAACAAAACTCCCATTTGTCATCCTTCACAGGGACAAAGTAGGCTTCTTCCAGGAACAATTTAGCCATGGATGGCTGGAGATAGACATGATTGACATGTTATTGACAATCATATGTAACAAGTACATGCTTTTCTGCAAAACGAGGGCCAGAAGGAGTCTGTTGGTCTGCAAACCACAATTTATGCTGAGCATTCTATTCTACCCTATGAAGATTTTTCTCATTCTAATTTTCTGTTGAGTGCTTTCATCTCTAAATATATATCCTTAAGCAAGATGATCACATGATGATTCTTTTGTTCTGTTTGTGCTTAGTAGTAAAAAAAATCCAAAACAACAATGGAAATGGACCTGTGGCTAAAATTATATAATCTTGAGACAAAAGTTGAAAGCGAGTCCAAAATTTCCCTAATTCAATTACTATTCCCCCTTCGAATGATCTGATGAATTACTCAAACCAAAAAATAAAAAAATATATGGGGATGGCCCGGTGGCCTAGCGGTTTAGTGCGTGCGCTCCGCTGCAGCGGCCCAGGGTTCTGATCCTGGGCACGCACTGACGCACTGCTTGTCAAGCCATGCTGTGGCAGCATCCCATATAAAGTGGAGGAAGATGGGCACGGATGTTAGCCCAGAGCCAGTCTTCCTCAGCAAAAAGAGGAGGATTGGCAGATGTTAGCTCAGGGCTGATTTTCCTCAAAAAGGGGAAAAAATATATATATATATATATATATATACACACACACACATATAGGGGATGGTGTTTTCCATTGAACAGATATTAAGACTAAAGGAATCATTTCTAAGTTACTTTTCTGTATCTCAAATGATTACAGTGATTTTTAAAATCTCTCTTTTAGTTTATTTATTCACTATTCTTAGAATGCAAATATTCCTCTTTATAGATCATAGTTCAACTCTTACTATTGCCCCCCTTCACAGTCACCTCATAAAAACAGAAGACATGAAGAACAGTGATACCATTTATAGTTTGAAGTAACAGCATGAAATGCGGAATAGCAACTATAGGAAAGAGGCGGCTTTGTCTGTGTGACTTAATGCATGTGGGATTCACTTGTCATAATCTTTCTGACACAAAAAACAACTGCAAAGCGGACTAATATTTATTTATGGCATCTCCTTCGTGACAGGCACTGTCCTCATAAGAAGCTCTTAGGGGCAGGTGTAACCCGTCTCATTTTATAGATGAGGAGTCAGCGGCTCCAGAAGGAAAACTTGCTCAGGGTCACACAGGCCTGAGTTGGGAATCAAATTAAAACTTTCTGACTCCAAAACTTCTGCTTTTCCCATTAACCAGGCTGTGTCTAATTCCAAGGAGATGGATATCCCTTTTCTGAGGAAGTAAATAAAACAAGCCGACAGTGAGCAAGACTGCCTCGAGGAGAAGAGAGTGCACTGCTGATATCTGAATTCATATTTGTAAATGAGGCCAGGCTCATTGCCCTTGAGGTACAAATAAAACTTTTCAAGCATATTATGAGAAGTAATAGAGATTCTAGCAGATAATCAAGCTGGAAGACCAGTCCTAATCATTCTTTCTCTTTTCAGTCTCAATCTATTTTCAGATTGAGTCTACACTGTATGGTACACACACACACACACACACAGACACACACACATACACACACTCTCTCACACACACACACCAATAATGCTAAGGGGTAGTGCTTTCCGAAGTACAGAAGCAGGCAAGCCAAACAAAATGCTCAACCTACATCTAATCAAAATTCAATTTCCACATCTCCAAATATTATTAGCATAATTTTTATGCAAAACACTTCAAAGCAGTGTCCTGCAAAAGACATTTTGAGGAATAAAATATTAGTAGGGTTCATATTAAAAAAAAGTGGGGGGAAAGCTGAGAACTACTGGGGTAAAATAGTAAAATTGGTGTCACTACTGAAGAACTTCGCAGAGTGTTGAAAATGCCAAGGTACAGTGCAAATTTCCTAGGGCGGAAATGTATATAGTGTTTTCAGCCTTATTTGACCAACAACCATTCTTTTCGGAGGAGAATCTCTCCCAGAAATGGTTTTTTTGTGAATATGTTTTTAGAAAACCCTGCCTTGGAGAGTTATAAAATTATCAACTACTATTCGAAAAGCATGTACTATGTCCAAGGCATATGATGGGATACAAATAGGTGAAGATACTATTATTTACTTCCCTAGAGCTCAGGATTAATAACAGCTATGAGATATAAATGTATAAAAATAAAACTTGGTCCAAAAGTAAATGCCAAGTTATAAATGTGTGTTTCAAATAGAAAACACTGTAGTGTTTCAGGGAAGAGAGGGATCTCTGGCGGACCAGTGTGAAAGCAGAAGGTTTTCAACAAGGAGAAAGAGAAAGGTGGAGAACTGGTGGCAATGAGGGAGGGGGTATTTTAGGCAGTGGAAGTGTCAACAAAGGTATAGTGGTGACATCTGAAGTTCATATAACGTTATAAACCAATACCGCCTCAATTTAAAAAAAAAGTATAGTGGTAGGAAAATACAAGGTATTTGGAAGACAGTTAATGCTGAAGCTGCACGAGAAGAAGAGACAATCCATGTTGGAAGAGTTATTTGACAACAAATTCTGAATGACTTAGACTGACACACAAGTTTTGTTATATTTCTGCCTTCCTTAAATTCCCAATTACTCATGTTTCTCATGACCTGAATTTAACATCCTCCCCAGTCATCATTCATCACCCTTAGCATTCACTTCAGGGGCTCAAATGCTTTTTAAAATCTAAGCTTTCATATAAACTGATATACCCATTTCCTCAGTGCAGTTAAATGTCAATACTCCAACATTTTGATAGCTTGTCTATACACACCAATTCAGAAATGTGAGCAAACAGATGAGACTTTCTTTAGGGAAGCCAAACCAGTAGTCATAAGCAGGCTTTGCAATTTGCACATGAGCTCTTTTATAAGAAGTCTTGCAAAAGAAAAGCTGCACAATGGGATCCCAGTCACAGGATATCCTCGCCAGACACAGTTGTCTCTGAAGGTGAATCCTAGCACCACTTATCCTTCTATCACTTGACTTCTTTAAACCTCAGTTATCTCACCTGCAATAATGAAACAATCACATTTACCTTTCAGGGATATTCTGAGGATTAGAAATCATTTATGCAATACACATAACAAGGTGTCTAATATATAGAGGACAACATATAGAAACCTTAAAAAATGTCTGCAAAGATATACACCACAAAAACTTAATGGCCTTCTTTATCTGAAAAACCTAGGTATTTATGTCACAGCCATGGAAAGCACTTGCTTTACCATTTATATGTGTGTACAAATAACTACCAATAGCTTCACAGGCTGGTTCACATAAAATATAAAGACAATTTATAATTATCCAGGCCATTTTATTGATATGGTTGGCTAATCTAAACCATTTAAGAGCCAAAAATAAAGCACTTGAGCCTGAATAACCTCATCTGCCCATCTACATTGGTATAATTATCTTCCCATTGCACAGAGAGAACCCATCTCAAAAGATGATCATTTAGACTTTCCTGTTTTCATTTTCTTGGATGGATCAATGAGACCAACTGAAATCTCAGGCAAGCATGGAAAATAAAGCAGCACATGGGACAGAAACTTAGCCATTAAAAGTGATTTTCACAAGCTCTTATAATCTAAATGTCATAATAAAATAGTATATATTTAAGAGGGAAATTGAATTCATCTTTCAAGAAGACTCTATAAAATTACTCCTAGTCTTCATCAGGCTCCCTGGGATCAATAAGGACAAACTCCGCATTCTCTCCTCATGGAATAGACCTACTTATATCAGTTGTGATTCTGAGAATATGGTATATGGTGCTGCTTCAACATTGTCACTCAGTATCTTTTAAATAATTTTTTTAAATTATTTATTTATTTATTTATTTATTTATTTATTTATTTACCCCCCAAAGCCCCAGTAGATAGTTGTATGTCATAGCTGCACGTCCTTCCAGTTGCTGTATGTGTGACGCAGCCTCAGCATGGCCTGACAAGCGGTGCGTCAGTGCACGCCCGGGATCCGAACCCGGGCCGCCAGCAGTGGAGCGCGCGCACTTAACTGCTAAGCCATGGGGCCAGTCCCTCTTTTAAATAATTTAATATGGTGAAATCCACATTACATAAATTAACCCTTTTAGAGTAAATACTTCAGTGGAATTTAGTAAATCACAATGTTGTGCAACCACCATTTCTATCTAGCTTCAAAATATTTTCATTACTCCAAAGTAAAACTCATTACCTATCAAGCAGTTCCTCCTCATTACTTTGTCCCCTCAGACCCTGGCCACCAATTTATGTTGTGTCTCTATGGATTTATCTATTCTGAATACTTCATACCAATGGAATCATACAATATGTGATCTTCTGTGTCTGGCTTCTTTCACTTAGCTAAATATTTTGGAGACCTATCCATGTTGTAGTATATATCACTACTTTATTCCATTTTATGACAGAATAATATTCCATTATATGTATATACCACAACTTGTTTGTTCATTCATCCATTGATGTACACCATTTAGCTATTGTGAATAGTGCTGCTACGAACATGCTTATACATGTACTTGCTTGAGTACCTGTTTTCACTTCTTTTTTGGTATATACCTAGGAGTGGAATTCTGGGGTCATATTCATCACTCAGTTTTGTTCATTTGTGATTCTGGGGACTGTGGCATAGTGGCCAGATGACTAGGTCTTGGCAATAGTTCACACTACTGTTCTCATGCTTGCCTATTCCCTGCTAAAAG